CTCGTACTTTTAATACAAATTATACAACAATTATTTTAACAACATCGTGGTTAATAAGTGCCCTGTTCATTTCATTATTAATCTCGAGTGTAATCACAGCTAAATATCAGTTAAAGATTCCCAACAAACAGATCCAAACACTACAAGAATTGGTTGATTCGGACGTAAAACTCATTAAACATTATAGTTTTAACATCATTAATAATATTGTTGACAAACAGTTAGTAAATAGTATTAACAGCAAAGAAATGATTAGAAAAGTTTCATTGACTGAGATTTTTAAGACAAGTAAATACATGGATGAGGTATATGAGGGTAAAAGTGCTATATTTTTCTGTGACGTCCCATTAAAACAGTTGACAATCGCCTATCCGTTCAAACAGTTAATCAGAAACGATATTAAACTCCAATTTCTGGACGAGAGATACGGACCGCCACTGTTTTGTTGTTTAGGGTTAAACAAAAACCTATTATCTAAACAGTTTAGAGACGATATAAACATAAGGTAATTATTTAACATGTTTTCATAATAATCACTTTACATTCATAATATCATGGACTAAAATTTTTTAGAGTTTCGCATTATTTTTCGTTGGGAATTGTGTCTCAAAAATTGAAACATTATTTTTTTAAAAGCAATGAATTATTTGATTTAAAATTCAAAACTGAAAGCGACTTCAATGCCATTGAATTAAATAATTTGTTTAGTTTTTTAATTGTTTTAATTTCTATTTATGGTTTTAGTATTATAATTATGATTTATGAATTATTATTTTTAAAAGTAGCATTTTTATTTGTTCTAAATAAATTTATGTACACTTTTCTACACATATAAGTGTAATAATTTTAAATCAAATATGATTACTAAAATTTTGAAGAACAACAACTAGGTAGTATTCAGTGAAGATAATATTCATTATACTTATAGATTCTAAAACATTTGAAATTAATATTATGCGCCAAGGTTAAAGTCAATCAAACAAGGTAAAATCAATACCCAATTAACATTAAGATTCTAAATCATTTGAGAAAGCCATTTTAGAGTTTTAAATCAGAAATTATACTGCATATAGCGATCATGATTTAACCATCAAATATATTTATTCATATTACTCAATTAATGAACGAGTTGAAACCCTTCTGAATTTTAATATTTATCTTAACTTATCTTAAATTTACGTAATGAAACTATTTATGTATAAATGTTTATTACATCATTTAATTAACATAATTAAAAAATAACAAAAGCTCGTTACTATATGATGAAAATATAAATTAAATACAAATATAGTGCATGAATATTATCGATCAATTGCAATTGTTTGCATTATTTCTAGATTATGTAAATACTTCTATGTTAACCATGATAAGTAGACTAGAATTTAATACACTGTGATTTAATAAATAGAGAATATAATTGTGCATTAAAAATACATGTAATACATAAAAGAGTATTTCGTTAATATTTATAATTGAATATTGATTAAATAATAAAGCTTGTTTACCACTTGCAAAATAAGTAAATATTGTTGTAGAAATGTCATTAGTAATGTATCTAAATTAACATACATTTTCGTTTATCTTTTATATCAAATTATTATAAATAATAAAAATATTAATAAATCAAGGTTGTTATAAATAATGATAACTTCTTATCTATTAATATTACGCATAATTAAACATAACAATGCATATAAAAATAGTGGCCGATCCGAGACTACCCTGGATTATGTTTAATACAAATGACCAAAATTGCTATGGCATACAGTGCGAGCTCATTAAATATATAGCAAGCTCATTAAATTTCACCTACCAATTAATTAGGGAAACTTCAGGCGTTGGCTATCCATCAGCAAATGGCACCTGGAATGGTATGGTTGGACGTATACAGCGAGATGTAATAAACTTAATTTGTTTTAACGCATACTAAACGCATAAACGTAAATTTATTTTATATTAATTTTTATAATGTAACAGGCACATATGACCGGATCACCTGTATCGTACACTTACAATTTATTCAGTGCTACAGATATGACCAACTCGTTTAACACGGAGGAGTTGGTAGTGATGTTGAGATGGGAAAATACTGGTCACTCTATCAACCACTGGCTGTACAGACTGTTTGATATTCAATGCTTGCTTACATTTTTCCTTATGTTAACAATATTCTCATTATTTATGACTATTTATCGGAAACATATTTTTAAGTGTAAATTACATTCTAAATTGTTTGTTTTTAAAATAATCCTGTTCAAACTGGTATCATCCGTTATTGAACAAGGTAAACTTTAAAAAAGTATTTGTAAAATTACTCTTACTAAATTTGCAATTTAATTTAGACATCCAAATTACTCGTACTTTTAAAGCAAATTATACAACAATTATTTTAATAACATCGTGGTTATTAAGTGCACTATTCATATCATTATTAATCTCGAGTGAAATCACAGCTAAATATCAGATAAAGATTCCCAACAAACAGATCCAAACACTACAAGAATTGGTCGATTCGGACGTAAAACTCATTAAAACATTTTCTTTTGATGCCATGAATGGTATTTTAGACAAACAGTTAATTAATACCATAATTAGCAAAGAAATGACCAAAAGAGTTATATTAAACGATATTTTTAAAACAAGTAAATACATGGATAATGTATATGAGGGTAAAAGTGCTATATTTTTCTGTGAAGTCCCATTAAAACAGTTGACAATCGCCTATCCGTTTAAAAAGTTAATGAGAAATGATATTAAACTCCGATTTATGGACGAGAGATACGGACCGCCGCTGTTTGTATGTTTGGCGCTAAATAGAAACCTATTATCTAAACAGTTTAGAAATAATGTTAACATAAGGTAACTTAACTAGTTTTTCTTCATATAATAACATACATTATATATTTTTAAATAGAGTTTCTCATTATTTTTCTATTGGAATTGTGGCCAAAGAATTAAACCATTGGTTTCGAAAAAGCAATGAATTATTTGATATAAAATCCGTTACACAAAGCGATTACAAAGACATAGAAATTAATAACTTGTTTAGTTTTTTAATTGTTTTACATTTTGTTTATGGCTTTAGTATTATTATTGTTACAGTTGAAGTAAATTGTAAACGTATTAAATTAATTTGCTGCAAATAAGGTTGTAATTTTACTAATCTGTTTTATATGAATTAATAATATAATTGTTTAACAATTTAGAATAACTTAATTTTGTAATGTTCATAATTTATAATGTTCATTATTGTCTATATTTATATTATATTTCCAATTAACTAATAATTAACTACACAAACAAATTGGCAACAGCTTTACATAATTTATACAATACTAAGTCTCCCAAGTTTTTTAATTGTCTTAATATCAGTTTATGGTTTTAGCATTATGATTATTATTTGTGAATTATTATTTGTAAGAGTAGCACATTTATTTACTCTAAATAAAGGACAAAGTTCAATGTAAATTGGTAAAATGCCAAAAATTTTATATTAAATTTTTTTATTTGTTTTTAATTTGCGAAATTAATTATCATTGTGAGCATAATTTAAATTGATATAAATGATGTGCAGTAATTACGTTGATCAATATAAAAAACGTGCATAAATGTTACTAAATTTCTTAATTTTGATATAACTTTTACCCATGATGTCAGATTTGAGAAATTCCTTCAGATTTCAATTCCTTTCATCCATACCTTTCCATTGATATATAATATGACATACTTATTCATAAAATACAAGATTTGATATTCAAATTTTCCCCGATAAAAGTGGTCACTGCGGCTAAACCCGAGGTCGTCTGGCCAAATAAAATATATTACCGTACTTCCTACAGAATGTACTTTCGATTTATAACAATAATTCCCGATTGCACTCTAGGCATTATTTGAACATTATTATTTGGTTTATATTTAATTATACTGTTTATTATAATAATTAAAGCATATCATATCATGCAAATGCATGTTTTTACCGGTTAGTTATGTAAGTTTGGGACTTTGGGGGCAAACAAATGACATAATAAGGGATGTTTTGGCGAACTTTTATTTTGCATATAAATGCATATTTGGCTCATAAATGCATATAACTGCATATTTGCTCCAAAAGCATATAAAAGCATTAATTTAGACGAAAATCATAACTAAACATGTCTAAACTGTTAGAAAATTTACAATAAATGAAAATCAATTATAGTTTATGACTAAATATAATTTAAAAAACAAATATCTATTTGATTAACATTATTTAGTAGTGATAAAGTATTACCTATTGTAGTGGCATATCATTTAAAAAGAAATAATATATTTTTATTTTATATTTTGCCATTAATTAATTATATTTAAATACGTTTTGAAAGGCTAACGACCATTTTCATCATCATATTTGGCCATATTGTTCATAAAACAGATTAAATAATACTTATATTACATATTAAAAATTTTATAAGTGCATATTTGAGTGCATATTTGACCATTTTTTAGTGCATTTTATATGACATATTTGACTACTTATAAATGCATATATTTCTATGCTTTAATAATAATCTATAATTCAATATTTTGTTTAGTTTTTTTAGCAGAACTTTTCTACATTTACTATTTTTAATATTAGACTATTTAATGTTAATTCAGTAAAAACACTATTTAATTTTATCTTAATAAATCTTTATTCAATTAATGTTAAAAACGATACCTCCGATTAAACTTCATAATTAATAGTAAATTAGGTTTTAAATTACATAGACTTATCATTTTAAGTACTAGAGTACTCATAGCATATGAGTTTTATTACAATACTTTATTTACGGCAATTTATATGTTTTTAACTTAGGCCTTAAAACTAATAAATAATAACAAGTGTTTTTAAATCAAGACTTTTTTGTGTATTGTTTGTGGTGTGTCGTCGGCTGAGTGTAGTCTAAAAACAGCTAAATAGTGTCAAGGTATGTCTTACCTTATATCATTATAATACCGTTAAAGAATTTCTGAATAAAACAATGTCTGTTTGTCAAATGGAAGGATCCCATTATTATGGAATTGGTTGTTATAATTATAAATTATGGTCATGATTGTTATTTAATTAATGTTATTTTTGTTTATGAAATCCAAAATATAGTTAACAGCGATCACACTCTTCAACCCAAATGTGCCAAACATATCGCATACAACTGCTATAAGGTATGCATTCATTAGTCATATAATAAATGTAATTATTATGCAAATTATTTTTAAATTTCAATTATACGTTAGACTCAAACAACAACTGTATATATATTTACTGCAAAGATATCTACTATTGAAATACCGGTCGGAATCAGAATCACAGACAAGATTACAGAATCTAATGATTATATTGAATGAATTCAAAATTGTTAGTGAAATGGAAAAAATGGATATTTAAGAAAATTCACTCCAATATTATGGACCACTTTTCAAGGAATTCTTTGATTAATTATTAACTGATATTAATACAAGAATTACAGGAATTGTGGGAATTATTTACATCTAATAAAACATTAATTAAGAAATAAATTTTCAAACAATAAATGCTATTAATTATAATGAGACGTTTGAAATTAATTTAACTTTAATTTAAATTATACAATTAAAATTTATAATAATGTTAAAATATAATCATTACAAGAATTTATTTTTAACTTAAGTATTATTTAAAAATATAATTAATAAATATTCAATTCATTAAATATTAAAAAAGTGAATTGTATACACTTTAATAAAATATTTTATTAGGTAAATAGTATGTTTCAACATGTTGTATTGTTCAATATTGTGAAATAGAAAAAATGTGCATGTAGTAAAAGATATTTTCCATTTAAGTAAAATAACAGTGTTTATTGTTAATGAATACAATATGTATATCTATACATCCGTTACCTTTTAAAATTCATATTATGCGCCAAGGTTAATACCAATCAAACAGTGTGAACTGATACAGTGGCCAATCAACATTAATTAGAAAGTATTTTTAGAAAGTATTTTTTAAAGGTAACGATTTGGTATGTATATCAGTTACATCTCTATCATTCACTGCAAACTGATTAACAATAGGCTAATAATACAGCTTTAATCCCAAAACATTTATTCCTTTACTTTTCAGTGCACAGGAATGACCCCCTCCTGTACTTTACAAATATTCTCTAATTCTAGTATTTTATAAAAATTTCTGTAATTCAGACCAAACCCTAAGTGCAACCACTGTTTTATTATTAAACAATTAGAAGGTTTTAATAATGTAACAATGTAAATTTAGTACAACTGTTTTTATTAATAATGATATAAAATAATAATACTTTATTGTGTTTGTAGTGATTGAATACTAAATTTAATTTAAAATTCAAAAACACTTAATTTTGTGTCATGTGTTTTATATAATAAAAGTTATTGTTAACTGAAGTGTAAGTAAAATAGTTATTAAACATGGAATTGTGTGTATTGTTGGGTCAAATTATATATATTTAGATCGACCACTAGTTATACACCTGTAATACCTGACAACTGGTCCACTGATTCTTTGCCATTGAATGATTATAATGTTAAATATCGGACAAAATAATCGATTAAATTAATTAACTTTTGAATCAAACCAAATGTAATGCATTTGACAAACTCTAGAATAGATATAATAAATGCATAAATAATGACAATATTATGTGAAATTAATTCAATTGATATTATTATAAATGCAACGAAACATCCGATGATTAACAGCGGGAATGCATTTCGAAATATATTGTAAGCCCCCTAAAATGGGCTTATACACCCCCGGAGGGGTCATTCTGGAGAGTACCCTTAAAACCATACACACTCACACAGTACTGTACATATTTAGTTAATAAATTATATCTTAAAATTTAAACCAAAAGTTAAAACTGTATATTAATGATTAAAACACAATTTAATGCAATACTGGAGTAAATTAAAAGCAAAATAAATAAAACAATACAGAACTGTGCGCTCACAAGTCTGCCGGTACTCTGACGAGAGATGTGTCGATGCGATCATCACATCTCTCATCCCATAGCAATAATGCCGTGTCATTGCATTTTATTGTCATTATTGGCAATGAAATACAATGACAGTCAAAATATGGCTTACAATATCAACGATTGTAATGTCATTATATGTGTTATCATCCGTTGAAACTATTTCAGTGGCATTTCGATTTTGTGTTATAAATGAATATTTCGACATAATCTTATAAATCATATCATGGTGATACTTCAATCCACATTCGATACCGCGTTTAAACTTATTACAGATATACAGGGTGTTTTTTATTGGACTACAACATTTTAAAGTCGAATATCTCGAAATGTATTCGGTCTA